CAAACGCATTTATGTGAATTGGTTTGCCAGGCCAAAGATTTGCATCGTTACCAATATTTAAGTCCCGCACCCCCGGATACAGTAAACACAATCCACCTCGAACCCGCCCCTTGTTTCAGCAGACCCTGCCCAGTTATGGGAGTGCCGTGCCTCTATCTAGGCAGGATCCACCCAATCATGGCATAAGATCACCGTAATGAATGGCTCAGTGGGTAAGTGTGCATGTGCAGTAATTTACACAGGTGACACTGTGATCTCGGGACACAGGCAGGGACACATCATCAGCAGCACTGCAGGTCCATGTGTGACTGTCCATCACCAGCACTGAGGTCCATGTGGGACTGTCCATCACCAGCACTGAGGTCCATGTGGGACTGTCCATCACCAGCACTGAGGTCCATGTGGGACTGTCCATCACCAGCACTGAGGTCCATGTGTGACTGTTCCGGCACAGTCGGCATCTTTGGATTTGTAACCCTGAGCCTCTTATGATTCATTTACCCAGGCAGGTTATACCACCAATTACTATTTCGGCTTTGTGGCTTCTTGTGGCACCTGCCTGCTTATTGGACAGTTGTTCAGCACATTAGTTTCACTGTCCAGTGAGCAGGCAGGTCACAAAGTAAGCTGCAAAGCTGTAAAGGAAGCAGCGCGTTCCCCTGCCTGGGCAGGCAGTATGGCTGGAGTCACGGGTATATGGGGCTTCTTCTACCTCTTTCTCCCTTCTTCGACAAAGCAGCAGGGTACGAAGACAAGGTAAGTATGGGCAACTGGTGGGGCTGCCATTACAGTTATCTTTTGTGAACTACAAAACCTCTTCCTCCCTATGTAATGAAGATGAGGAGAAAGGAAGGTGTTTGTTTTCTAGTACAGGAGAGAAGCCTAGTGTGACAACTAGGGATGCACCGATACCGATACTAGTATTGGTGCCAATACCGAATATTTAGCTGGGAAGCCGTCGCCATGCTTCTCGTCACTAGGTGACCAGAAAGCATGGAGCCGGCTTTCTGGCCAATCAGGAAGCTGGGCGCCGTGTAATGACGGGGCGCCCGGCTTCCTGATAGGCCGGGAAACCGGCTCCATGCTCCCTCGTCATGAGGTGACGGCTTTCTGATTGGCCAGCTTCCCAACCAATCAGGAAGCCTGGTAGCGAGTCATTACACGCTGCCTAGCTTCCTGTTACTGGAAGTATCGGAGCATTTGGCTGAGTACGAGCACGAGCCCAAATACTCGGCATCGGCACCAATACCAATACTAGTATCGGTATCTGTGCATCCCTAGGACAGGAAGTGTTTTGATGCAAGCAGTAGGCTGGCTCATGGGTGGAGTTATGCAAATACCAAAATGCCTTGATGGGTGGATGTCAGTCTGGAAGAGTGGGCCTTCCTGGCAGGCAACATTTGCATGTAACACCCACATGTGATGCGGAGTCTCCATGATTGGAAGAACTGAAATCCAGTGAAGGAAATATTAGGTTAGGTAGGTCCTTATATTACATAGATTTGATAAATAACAAATTGATTGTATGCAGGGGCGTAACTAGAAATCACAGGGCCCCATAGCAAAATTTTGTATGGGGCCCCGTGATTGCTAGTCATGCCACTTGCAGAGCCCCAGCGGAGAGTGACCCTGCAGAGCCCACCATAGACTCTCTATAGTGGGCTCTGCGGGATCTGAGATGTCTTACCTGTCAGCGCCTCTGTGGTCGCCGGGCCCCGACTCCTGTTCCGTCCCCGGGCCCCGACTCCTGTTCCGTCCCCGGGCCCCGACTCCTGTTCCGTCCCCGGGCCCCGCCTTCTCTTACATCACTGGCCCCACCTGCTCTTACATCACTGGCCCCACCTGCTCTTAGGTCGCTGGCCATTGATGTAAGAGGAGGCGGGCCCCGCCTCCTCCATTCCGAACACCGCCCTCATCTGCCGCAGCGGCCGGCTGTCACTGACACAGCTCCGCAGCGGCTATGAGGGGAAATGCGCCGCGGCTGCTGCTGAGCTGTGTCTGTGACAGTTAGCACCCCCACATGCCATAGCGGCCCTGGCCGGGTCCCCCTGTGCCCGGGCCCCATAGCGGCCGCCTGGGTCGCTATGGCGATTGTTACGCCACTGATTGTATGGTCAGACTGTAACGTGTATGGTGACCATAGGCCCTCATATTACATGTAATACGTTACATACATATCATTCTGGTAAATCTAAAGCAGATTGTGCGGTCAGATTGTGACGTGTATGGTGAACCTCAGGTCTACTTCAGAGGCAGTATGGCTGCCCTCGCCGGAGACTTACATGTGTACTTTTCCTGTTATATATACAGTAGGAAAAAAAAAAAAAAGTGGTCAGAAACATGAACGGGTCAAAAATGATGTGCTGCGGGAAATACAGAGCAGAGGCGAAGCGATCATGAATGAATGAGAAGTTAGCCGTGTGGTTAGCGTCTGTGGGCAAGGTAACTCCAGGACAGCGCAGCCAGATGGGGGCCGGATAGTAGGCACAATTCAGTTGCATTGAATGAAAAATGTGCAGCGCGCTCATGCTTCGGGCAGACAGACGCTGCCTGTGCACCAGAACTGTACCACTTGTGATCCGCTGTGTTTACTCCTATGAATCAAGAGGAGCGCGCTACCTCCCCCCCGGCCAATCAGATCGCAGCCGACGCACGGGAAGCAAAGACCGGTCAATCTCCCTCTTTGCTCTCTGATTCTGGCGTCAATCTTGATACGGATCTTGAATAAGCCTCCTATACATACAAGACGTAACGTTTCCCGGCCCGTCATGTGCACATATCAGGGTGTGCGCTTTCCTGAGGTGTGCCTGATGAGGTGACAACACAATCACAGATCTCAGATTGGGGTCAGTAACATTACAGTGTGAGACGGATGTGAAGTGTTCTAACGTTGTATCCGCTATTGTGAGAGACCTTCACTACAGGTACAGGGCCTGCTGAAACCTGTAGTTCTGTGACTGCCAAAGAGTAACATTTGTAATACTTATATGTCGTCACATTGCTCTGATCCCTACAATCTCCGGGAATCTCCTCTTCTCTTCACTTTTCTTTTCTATTCATCTCTTCTTTCCTCTCATCTCTTCTCTTCTCTTCTCTGCTCTTCTCTGCTCTTCTCTGCTCTTCTCTGCTCTTCTCTGCTCTTCTCTGCTCTTCTCTGCTCTTCTCTGCTCTTCTCTGCTCTTCTCTGCTCTTCTCTGCTCTTCTCTGCTCTTCTCTGCTCTTCTCTGCTCTTCTCTGCTCTTCTCTGCTCTTCTCTGCTCTTCTCTGCTCTTCTCTGCTCTTCTCTGCTCTTCTCTGCTCTTCTCTGCTCTTCTCTGCTCTTCTCTGCTCTTCTCTGCTCTTCTCTGCTCTTCTCTGCTCTTCTCTGCTCTTCTCTGCTCTTCTCTGCTCTTCTCTGCTCTTCTCTGCTCTTCTCTGCTCTTCTCTGCTCTTCTCTGCTCTTCTCTGCTCTTCTCTGCTCTTCTCTGCTCTTCTCTGCTCTTCTCTGCTCTTCTCTGCTCTTCTCTGCTCTTCTCTGCTCTTCTCTGCTCTTCTCTGCTCTTCTCTGCTCTTCTCTGCTCTTCTCTTCTCTGCTCTTCTCTTCTCTGCTCTTCTCAGCTCTGCTCTTCTCTTCACTTTTCTTTTCTATTCATCTCTTCTTTCCTCTCTTCTCTTCTCTTCTCTTCTCTGCTCTTGTCTGCTCTGCTCTTCTTTGCTCTTCTCTGCTCTTCTCTTCTCTGCTCTTCTCTGCTCTTCTCTTCTCTGCTCTTCTCTGCTCTTCTCTTCTCTGCTCTTCTCTGCTCTTCTCTTCTCTGCTCTTCTCTGCTCTTCTCTTCTCTGCTCTTCTCTGCTCTTCTCTTCTCTGCTCTTCTCTGCTCTTCTCTTCTCTGCTCTTCTCTGCTCTTCTCTTCTCTGCTCTTCTCTGCTCTTCTCTTCTCTGCTCTTCTCTGCTCTTCTCTTCTCTGCTCTTCTCTGCTCTTCTCTTCTCTGCTCTTCTCTGCTCTTCTCTTCTCTGCTCTTCTCTGCTCTTCTCTTCTCTGCTCTTCTCTGCTCTTCTCTTCTCTGCTCTTCTCTGCTCTTCTCTTCTCTGCTCTTCTCTGCTCTTCTCTTCTCTGCTCTTCTCTGCTCTTCTCTTCTCTGCTCTTCTCTGCTCTTCTCTTCTCTGCTCTTCTCTGCTCTTCTCTTCTCTGCTCTTCTCTGCTCTTCTCTTCTCTGCTCTTCTCTGCTCTTCTCTTCTCTGCTCTTCTCTGCTCTTCTCTTCTCTTCTCTTTCTCTGCTCTTTTCTCTTATCTGCTATTTTCGTCTCTTCTGTTCTGTTCTCTTCTCTGTTGTTCTTTCTTCTCTTCTCTGCTCTCCTGTCACAAGTCTGCCAGAGATAACAGACTTGTGAAAGGAGATGACAGACATATTATTATTATTATTATTCAGGATTTTTATAGCGCCAGCAGTTTGCGCAGCGCTTTACAATATAAGGAAGACATTACAATCACAATACAAATCAAGACAAGATGGTAAGGAGGGCCCTGCCCCTGAGGGCCTACAATCTAAAATAGGATAGGAGATGGTGAGAGATGGCAGATATATGACAGGAGATGGTCAGAGATGGCAGACATATGACAGGAGATGGTGAGAGATGGCAGACATATGACAGGAGATGGTCAGAGAGATGGCAGACATATGACAGGAGATGGTCAGAGAGATGTCAGATATATGACAGGAGATGGTCAGAGACTGTAAACATTCTGTAGGAGACAGTCATAGACTGTGGGCTCATTACATTAGACTGCTATAGATCAGAGGAATAGGGAAAACACAGGCTACTGCAGGAGCCACACAAAAACTACCAAAGGGCCACATGTGTCCCCCGGGGGCCACTGTCTGAGCACTAGGGCTTCAGTGGGTCATGCAAAGTCTGTAGCAGTTGGTTTCCTTGTCGGGCTCATGAATCACCTTCTAGAATACAGTAAAGATAATATTGTTGTGTCCCCGGGAATGTCTGACGGCGTCTCTTCTCCTCGCAGCGCTGCAAGGATCGCCTGAACTCCTTGGCCATCTCTGTCATGAACCAGTGGCCGGGCACCAAGCTGCGGGTGACGGAGGGCTGGGATGAGGACGGCCATCACTCCGACGAATCCTTACATTATGAAGGGCGAGCGGTGGACATCACCACCTCCGACAGGGACCGCAACAAGTACGGCATGCTGGCCCGGCTGGCGGTGGAAGCCGGCTTCGACTGGGTCTACTACGAGTCCAAGGCTCACATCCACTGCTCTGTGAAGTCAGGTAAGACCCCCCCGCCTCCTATACACTTCTATGGGGACCGGTGTGCGTTGTCTGTGCGTTGTCTGTGCATGACACGGTCCTGTATGTAATGTTCCTCCATGTATCACGCACACCGACTGTTTAAGTATATTATACTGTCTGAGATGCCCATGTGGATGTGTTCGGGTTCAAGTTGACCTCCAGGCAAAATGTGTATATATTGTTATTCTGTTCAGCCGGTCTTGTAATCCAGACACCCCTGCCAGACAGCGCAGCCAGATCCTATGCCACCCAGCAAACTAAACTAGGCCACACAGCGTGGCCAAGGACCAGTCTAAGCTATTGAGTGGCTGCAAGCTATGCTCCTCCCCTGTAAGGATGTTCCCTGTGCTAGACTGACACTATTATATAATGCAATGGAGTCCTGATAGGGCTCAGAATGCCTCTCCCTGCAAGGATGTTCCTTATGTTAGACTGACACCACTATACAATGCAATGGAGTCCTGATTGGCTCAGAATGCCTCCACCTGTAAGGATGTTCCCTGTGCTAGACTGACACTATTACATAATGCAATGGAGTCCTGATAGGGCTCAGAATGCCTCTCCCTGCAAGGATGTTCCTTATGTTAGACTGACACCACTATACAATGCAATGGAGTCCTGATTGGCTCAGAATGCCTCCACCTGTAAGGATGTTCCCTGTGCTAGACTGACACTAATATATAATGCAATGGAGTCCTGATAGGGCTCAGAATGCCTCCCCCTGCAAGGATGTTCCCTGTGTTAGACTGACACTATTATATAATGCAATTGAGTCCTGATTGGTACAGAATGCCTCCCCCTGTAAGGATGTTCCCTGTGTTAGACTGACACTATTATATAATGCAATTGAGTCCTGATTGGTTCAGAATGCCTCCCCCTGTAAGGATGCTCCCTGTGTTAGACTGTCACTACTATACAATGGAGTCCTGATTGATTCAGAAAGCCAACCCCTGTAATGGTTCAGAATGCCTCCTCCTGCAAGTATGTTCCCTGTGTTAGACCGACACTACTATACAATGCAATGGAGTCCTTATAGGCTCGGAATGCCTACAGGCCCCTCTCCCAGTCCTCATGGTGCTGTGTCAGGTATTACGGGAGGCTCATATGATGACATGTGTAGGTACCTGTGCTAGCTGTGTGATAAGGAGGTCAGAGGTCGGGAGGACTCCTCTGCAGAATGTGTTCCAGATATTGTTGATATACTTATTGTAATATTGTTGTCACTTTGTGTCATTGTCATACATGTCAGTGGGGGGCGGTGAGGAGGGGGGGGGGGTGAATACATACGCAGGCTCTGCTTCTTCATTACTGTCCCCGACAGTCTCTGATTGAAAACCGCGCTGCAGTCTCCAATGAAGTGAAACCTCCACAATGACCCTGGTGGTCTCTGCCCAGGCTGTAGGTCATGTGACGCTTTATTCGTCTCTCTCTGTGATAGAAATCCTGTCCATGTTTTCACAAACCTTCATTCTTCACATGATCCATGACCGTCATTGCACACGAGGAGGCCGTGTTCACATCTTACACGTGTGTGCTGTGAAAGTAGATGTAAACCCGCTAAACTCTCATACACAGGGGTAGGCCAACCTCAACACTCCAGCTGTGCTCAAACTACAAATCCCATCAAGCTTCTGCCTCTGGGAGTCATGCCTGTGTCTGTCAGAGTCTTGCAATGCATCAAGGGATTTGTAGCTGCAGAGATGTGTCCCCACTCCCCGCTGTGACAGAAGCCAATTGCAATTATTCTTAAAGCTGCAGCTTTCATTAAAATCCTCCCCTGGCGATCCTGCCATGAAGGTCGTTGCTCAGGCACTTCCTGTTATAGGGTGACAACGCCCTGTCCCATCTCCCTTTTGTGCTCTTGCGTTGTCACCCTGTCACAGGTGCTTTCCGATGGAGACTACAAGCAGGCATTTCGACACAGATGAAGCAGGCACCATGCCACACCGGACGGGGGGAGTAGAAGAGGACCGTCTTGGCTACTTCAGCTAAGGCATCGGCCTGTCTCTCAAATGCTTCCTTGGGTTGTCACCCTGTCACATTTACCTCCAGCGGTGACTGAAAGTCGTCCATGATTTATCCCGGAAGAGAGAGATGCTGACCACAGAGGGGAATGCTAGAAATAGGTTTATGAATGGCGAGCCGGTGAAAATGTCAAAGTGGTTAAAAAATGAGTTTTGGGTGAATGCGCGCTTGCTGAACATGTAGTCACAGTTTTACTCCGATTTGAACTTTGACTCGGGACTCCTCTCACGCGTCACCTCCCCGATGTGAACTTTGGATGGTGGAATTCTCTCCCGCCACTCGGCAGCATTGGATACAATGGGAGAAGGTTTATTACGGTGTCACCGGCCTCCTAGTGGCAGATATGGGGATTGCACCCCAGAGAGGGGACACCAGGAGGATCCGCTGCGTCAGAGGTACTGTGAGCTCTGTGAGACCCGGACTGGTTACACCGGCGCATTACTTAGCATGTCCCTAACTACTCGCTCCCCGCCCATTGGAAATAAACGGCAAGCTCCTTCCAGTGGCGTGCCGTAAATATATGACATTTATTTTCCCCGCTCGTGTGCGCCCCCCCTATCGCTCGCATGAGCAGGACACGCTGACAGGTGTAGGCAGCCGGTAACAGCTGTCACATGTACAAGCGTTTGGTGGCTCTATAGCAGTCCGATCGCTTGTATGTACCCAGCAGTGTTTGTGCCCCTTCAGCGCCCCCTCCGTTACTGGCTATCCTGTCCCCTCTGCGGGACCGGCTCCTGGTCCCGATTTGCATTTTGCGCGATATCGCGCGGTTTGTCGCACGATATCGCGCAAATGGTTGCATTGAGCAAACTAGAATCGCGGCAAAATCCGCTCCAAAAAGGGTCCTGCTGTAGCGACGCACGACCCGCGACAGCGACGGACAGAGCCCCATTGCCATGCATTGGAGAGCGATATCGCGCGGTAAATCACTCAGTGTGAATGGGGCCTAAAGGAGAGCTATGAGCCGAGTGATTTCCACTCACCTCATAGTTCTAGCCGACCTGTGACAATGAGACTGTCACAGGTCGGCTCAGTAGATCGGGAGGTGAGCGAACACATAACCGGCGCTCGCTCACTTTCCGATCATCTCCCTGCAGAGAGCAGTGACTGTCCGTCACCGCTCCCCGCAGGGATTCCCCCCTTCCCCTGTCCGATCCTCCAGCGCTGAGTGGCGGAACGGGAGGGGGCGGGTACAGCTGGTTCTGCCTCTAGATAGGCAGAGCCAGCTGTCACTCACGCAGCTGGGTGGATCTCGACAGCATTGTCGGGATCCGTCCCGCCTGCGGCGCTCTCAGTATATAGCGAGCTGTAGCTTGCAATATACTGAGCTTTGGATCACAGGAGGAAGTTAGTATATGTCCCCCCCGTGGGCCCTTAGGGGAACCATGGGATAAAAAGGTTACTCCCATAGTTCTCTTTTAATGTCCTTAAAGAGGACCTGTCAGTGTACATGTGCCGTCACATAGGGGGATCATTAGCCTGCTATCTGATAGCAATATCATAAAGTGTAAAAAAAAAATCAAAGTCACATATAAAGAAAATGTAAAAAAAAAAATATTGTTGTCCCCCACGTATACGCATATCTAAACGTAAATACACATTGGGTGCGCCAGAGTGCAAGAACGACAATCCCGCCGAACCTTACATATCGGCGCGAGCGTCTCAGTGAGAGCAATAATTTTAGGGCCAGCAATCACTGATAACACTAAACTGATGAGCGGTAAAAGCTTTTAAATCGTTGCCTATGGACCATTTTGGGTATGGTAGTTTTTTGCAATTTCGCAGGCGCGCGCAATTTTAAGGCTTGACATTAGGGATGCTCCGATACGGATACAAGCATCGGAATCGGCGGCGATACCTAGTATTTGCGTGAGTACTCGTACTCGTGCAAATACTCCGATACAAAAAACGAGTACCTGTGCCGCGTCCGCCATCTTCAGGGACCCGAAAGCGCCGCACACATAGCGTCTTCAATGAAACAAGATGGCCGTGAACTCCTCCTCCAAGTCCTGAGTCATCTGCTCCATTCTTGTATAGTGTGGCACAGCTATATCCAATTCTGCATACCTGGCTTTATATTATAAAAAATGTAATAATAATATAAAGCCAGTTATACAGAATTGGATATAGCTGTGCCACACTATACAATGTTCTGGTCTGGAGTCTGGACATGTGTTCATCTATTTTCCCCACTAGGGGGATACAAGCCTTAGTTAGCAATGGCATGATAAATATTAATTTCATGTTCATCTTCGTCATAATATTAAGAAACTGACCTAAAATCATGATTTTGTATTGCTTTAGAAAAAATGTGACGATCCCTTTAGGAAAAAGTATCGGTAATTGGTATCGGCGAGTACTTGAAAAAAGTATCGGTACTCGTACTCGGTCTTAAAAAAGTGGTATCAGAGCATCCCTACTTGACATGTTTGGTGTCTATTTACCCGACGTGACCCCGACTTTTATATTTTACCAAAAAATTGGGTAATAATAAATGTTTTATAACATAATGTCAAAAAAAAAAAACTTGTATTTTTCAAAATTTTTAGTAATTTTTCCTTAATATAGTAAAACATGAACCCCCCAGTGGTGATTAAATACCACCAAAATAAAGCCCTATCTGTCCCTAAAAAATGGTATAAAATTAATTTCAGTACAGCGTTGCATGACGGAATAAACGTCAGTCAAAGTACCGCAGCGCTGAACACTGAAAAATGGCCGGGACAGGAAGGGGGTGTAACACCGCGGTCAGCAAGTGGTTACCATAAAGACAATGTGGTCAATTTATAACCAGAGCCATTCGCCCGACGAATCTTTCTGAACGTTTGCTTTGTGTGAATAGGCACAAAAACGAAAGTTGTTACATATATTTTCTTTGAGGGGAAATGTATTGTGACGTAATACTGCATTTTGGACACTAGATGGCGATGAAAAGCATAGAAAATATATAGTTG